CTTCACCCTGTCGCGCCAAGCTGCCGGGTACCATCCAGAGGAGGTCCGAATCCATCTGCGTTGCCTGACCTATAGTTTCATTCCAACAATTTGAAGCCCAGTGTAAAATCCGATTTCACTTTGGTTCACCTCATCTTACTACTTTATTTTCTCAACGATTAGAGTTGGTTATGAATTTTAAGGCGCGCATACACACTAGCTTCTCATCGCAAATGCCGCAAGTTGAGGATCAACCTTGTTGGGTTTACGTTAATTTTATCTATTAGAGTTTAATGGGACCGTATTTACGACAAAGTATACACATTTGGTTGAGGTCACTAATAAAACGTTCCCGTGATAACTACCACCGTATACTTCGTGGCTTTTATGTACGCTCAACGACATACCGTCTGCCTCACCTATCGTTAGCGCAATGTGTGAAATGCCAACGACAAAGACACAGGGAGGAAAGCCACATGACGGTGTTCTTGCTGAGTAGAATTTTATTTACTTACACCGCTGCATCAATACAGAGGAACTTTACAATCTTCTAACCACGTCGAACCTCCCTTATCTACGCTGCGTCCGACGGGATGGGCGCCCGGGAACATTCCTCTGTAAGCATACAAATACAACACCCCACCCATTAAAGCGATCACGTCACCGTACAATAGTAAAGTTAAAAAAATGTCCACATTTTCAACAAAATTACAGTGATTCTGTTCACGTTTATGGTTTAAATTGGCATTATATTTCCTATTTGCTATTCCTTTCGACTGGTGACCAAACCGCTCGACTCGTACATAGCTCTATAGCAAGATAATCTCGTGATCAAAATTAGCAAATCGCCCCAAGTTTTGATTTTAACAGTCTAAAACAATCTTATCACTTAAAAATCTCCAGCATACATGTTAGTCCTGTATTACTACTTTCCATGTAAAAAATTCAAGCAAAAAGAGCCACCATCAGCAAATATTTGTATGTATGCATAATCACGGTTCATAAGAATCACGAGCACTTTCATTACGCGACGAAAACCTTACATAATGATCATTCGATAAACCCAGCGTCTCTATAGACAGGTGACTTTCGTAAAGTACGTCCCCTAACACAGGTTTGAATGTATAATGGACTTCGCGTATCTTAATCATGATTTAATCTACCACCATAATTTCACGTATTCGAATAATAAAAAAGTCCTTTAGACAAACCCTTGTCATTTTCTCACCTCTAAGATTCCACGTTCTCTCTCTCTCTTCTCGATCGTATCTCTACCCCCATCGGCCTCATGACCGCTAAGTCGCGCTTCTGCAGGTGGTGCAGGTGACTTCGTTGGCGCTTAACAATGAAAGTCAGTAAAGCCGTATACCTGTGTACACTACACAGTACCACAGGTACATGTGCAGGTGCATGTGTAGTCTGTAGACGTGAGATGTTTACGGCAAATATGCTGTATTTTTCGCCATTTGCTTCTACGTGTACACTAGAAATTCTGTTAGATGTAACGGCTAATCTCTAGTAGAAACGGGTAGAAATTAACTTTTGAACAAGGGAGTCCAACAACTCCTGCCCTCGAAAAGAGGGAGTCCGCAGCAAAATGAGGGAGTCTGCAGCAAAATGAGGGAGTTCGCAGTCTGAAGTTCAAAACTAAAGCATAACAACAATAACGCATATGTGCTTATTTTGAAGATTTATGCGATGCACGTCTGCCACATTTTCTTTGGATATTTGCTAAAAAAATACCGTAATTCCGCGAGGCTGGGCTCTGGAACGAACTAGTTAGTATAGCAGAATTTTCAGGGAGTCACACGGACTCCTGCATATGTCAAATCAGGGAGTCCGACAGTAAATCAGGGAGTATTTGACTCCGGACTCTTGTTAATTTCGCACCCTGTAGAGATTTGTTGGACCATTTCTATATCACTGTCAGCTGTGCCATTGGCTATGTTACTATGACAATAGGAATGTATAGTATACTATACGCATACAGACGGCACGTGTATTGACGTTATTTCGCTTGATAACGGATGGTGACAATACAAAGTCCGGCCCAAGGATGTAAGAGCTGTCCACATTCGCACATTTTCACATGTCGCACATTGTGAAAATGAATTGTGGTCAGCGCTTATATTCATGAACCCAAAGATAGTCATATGTATGCATGGAGGATAGTCTACGTTCTAGACTAGTGGTTCTTAACCTTTTTGAGTTATGGACCTTTTTGGGAATCTGGGGAAAGCTACGGAGCCCTCCCAGGAAAATTCACATATAAGCACATAAACACAATGATTTTTATGCGCCTGGTTCATGGACCCCCTGGTCAAAGCCCATCCACGGGGTCCGTGGACCACAGGTTAAGAACCACTGTTCTAGCTAATAATACCAATGCATATCTGATCTTCCCACTACTGCACTACAGTCATGGACCTGAAATCTCTCCCTAGTTCTCCCCTTCTCTTCCTCCTCTTTCTCCTCCTCTTCCTCCTCCTCTGACCTCCTCCTCCTCCTCCTCCTCCTCCTCCTCCTCCTCCTCCTCCACTACGTTCTCCTTCCCATCATTCATCTCTGAGAACACTTTTGTAATGTGAAGAATTTTCAGCGAGTCACACGGACTCCTGCATATGTCAAATCAGGGAGTCCGACAGTAAATCAGGGAGTATTTGACTCCGAACTCCAGTTAATTTCGCACCCTGAGATACATATATATATAGAGAGAGATACCCTTGCAGAATAGTGAGAGGTCGAAACTCATAGGTTTGCCTCAGTTTTGCAAACTATAATTGCAGTACCTCCTGATTCATAGTTGGGAGCGAAGAATAGAGGCATGATGACAAGGTCCTCATGATATGAAGTGCAAGTTGTATTCACAGGCAGGATGTAGAGACTAGGGTCGTTTAAGTGGTTCTGGCTCTTGCAATTTTACGCAACAAATTGTCTAGTGTGTATTATTAATTACATCAGTGATTAATTTGTAATTAGGCTCTTGATTGTGCGTTATACAGTACCCTCGTTTAGCGCTGCACATGCATTTATTTATTTATTTATGTATTTATATAAATTTTGCAGTATCATTTAACTCAATCAAGTCGTGTTACGTAACTCATGACTTCACGGGTTCACTGTTTGATTCTGTGATCTGACACGAGGTTAGATAGCAGTAGAGATCGAAATAATTACTCTTGGATGCTACTCTTGTCACTTGTCATTACTACTTGTAATTGTCTCTTTCTTGGGAGTGTACGGTGTGTGATGTGAGTGCTTTGAAAATATCGAATCTAGGATTGGCGCACGAGATTATGTGGGACCAGGGTCGACCGATCCACTTTCCCCTACAGGTGGCGCTTCTGCAGCTCTCCGCTGCAGGCCGGTAGCGCCACCTCGTGCGTAGAAGGGGAATCGGCGTCGGTAAATATATACGCAGATGTCGGCACGAGGATGGGCGTTTGTATTTAATGGTATATATATAGATACATTTAATATTGCGTGTTAATATAATATATTATATATGCTTATAGAGTGTATGTACGGTCAAGTTCTATTCTCGTGTAGAGAGAGAGAGAGAGAAGGAAGCCTTTACGCTTTTCCCTCACTAGCTACTTTGCGGTTGTCTAGCGACGATCAAAATATTACATTTGTTATGCCTGTGATTTGTACTACAAATTGTAGTAGTAGTACTGTTGTGCGGCAATCGCCTCCCCCCAAGTGGTGCCACCAGTAGCATCGAACAATCAACGCACAAGACTGAGATATCATAATTAGCGAGCATATGATCAGTAAATTAGTTAGCATCATGATCTTCGCGTCGTGTAGCTTTAGCAAGCCGATCGTGCAGATGCGCTTCGTAAACGGTACAGTACACAATCTATTATCCGAAATTCTGAAAATCGAAAGTTTTTTCGTGGAGGTCGTCTGCACACCAAAGCTCGCGTTTGGTGCCAAAGGTTCACTACAGAAATATTAATGTGTTTGGCATTACTCAATGCATATTGTACTGTACTGGTGGTACAGCACTTGGCCTCTTAAAAACTTTGGGTTTTAGTACTGGTTAATTGCAGGATATACGGCATGTACGTAGTATATCTGTACTGTACTACCATTCCGAAATTCGAAAAATTCAGAAACGTGGTCCCAAGGGTTTCGGATAACAGATCGTGTACTGTTCATTCTGACTATAGATATAGAATAGAGATCATCTATTCTGTATCTATGTTCTAACCTTGTCGTAGAGGATCAAAAGATGTACACCATATATGGTCCATATGACGATAACGGGAAGGATAAGGAAACAATGTCACGTTGAGGACACGTGTCGTCTGCTGTCAACGCGATCGGATTGCAGTTAGCTATAGGTGTCATGTAATATATATTATGCTTTGGGCTGTAGGATGTACATTTGTGATAAACGGAAGCTTTGTCACGTTTTTAGAAGGAATCGTAAGTGTTGTGTGTATACAATGCCATATTGTTAAATTTACCCCGGAGTTATAATCGACTTGATTGTATTTGATTGTTGTAATGCACGCGGTGAAAGTTGCAGTGGAGTACAGATTTTGCGCCCCGTGTCGTCTGTGTGTTAATTTAAATTCCTTCACTTTCACTCCAAGGTACCACCAATATCCAATCATTTGTTGTTGACCTATTAGTTTCATTCCAACCAATTGGAAGCCATGTTAAAATCTGTTTCACTTTGGTTCGACCTCATCTTACTAGCTTTATTTTCTCAACGATTAGATTGGTTTATGATTTTAAGGCGCATCACACTAGCTTCTCATCGGAATGCCGCAAGTTGAGGATAAACTTTGTTGGTTTTACGTTAAATTTATCTTTTAGAGTTTAATGGACCGTATTTTACGACAAGTTATACACATTTGGGTTTGTCACTAATAAAAACGTCCCGTGATAACACCACCTGTATACTTCCGTGCTTTTTTATGTTACGCTCAACGACATACGGTCTGCTTCACCTATCGTTAGCGCAATGTGTGAAATGCAACGACAAAGACACGAGGAGAGAAGGCACATTACGGTGTTCTTGCTGAGTAGAATTTTATTTACTTTACACCCGGCTGCATCATACAGAGAACTTTACAATCTTCTACCACGTCGACCTCCCTTTCTACGCGTGCTGTCCGACGGGATGGGGGTGACATCCTCTGTAAGCATACAAATTACAACACCGCATTAAAGCGATGACGTCACCGTAAATAGTAAAAGTTAAAAAAATGTCCACTTTTTCACAAAATGTAAGTGATTCTGTTCACTTTTTATGGTTAAATTGCTGCATTATACTTCCTATTTTGCTATTCCGTTCCGAGGTGACCAAACCGTCGTGACTCGTACATAGCTCATAGCAAGCATTTAATCTCGTGATCAAAATAGCAAATCGCCCAAGTTTTTTGGATTTTTAACTAGTCTAGAAACAATCTTATCAGGTAAAAATTCAAGCATACATTTAGTCCTGTTATTACTTACTTTCCATGTAAAAAATTGCAACAAAAATATGCACCATAGAAAATTTGTGATGTAGTCAATTTAAACACGGTTCATAAGAAATCACGGGGCACTTTTATTAGCGACGAAACCTGTACATAATGATCATTCGAATAAAACTCAACGTCTTCTATAGACAGGTGACTGTTCTGTAAAGGTGTCCGCTAACACAGGTTTGAATGTATTAATGACTTCGGGGGTATCTTAAGTCATGATTTAATCTACCACATAATTTACGTATTTCCGATAATAGAAAAATGGTGGCTTTAGACAAACGGTTGTCAGTTTTTCCTCCACCTCTAGATTTATCCACGATTCTTCTCTCTCTCTCTCGATCTGTATCTCTACCCCCCCCCACCTCTCTCTCGCTTTCTATCTCTCCCCCCCCCCATTCTCCCACGCTCTCTTGTGCTCAACACGCTGGCTCAGCGGTTCAGACATTTTGTGAATCAGCAAGTGTTACTCAGTGATTGGTACAAAAGTCTCATCATTGCCAGAGACTTTACACCCAGCCTGCCCCCCACCCCCACAAATTCCCAACGACCACGTCGGACGGGGGAGGTCAGTGATATTTCTTCCACGGCCGGCCGCGGGGTTCGTTGGCTAGTATACTTCGCGCGAGGCACTCACCGATGCGTCCTATCTTCATGCCGGATCGCGCCAGGGCACGCAGAGCAGACTGAGAACCTGGTCCCGGGGTCTTTGTCCTGTAAACACACGGAGACAACTCAATAAACGCGTCGCACCGCCGAAAAACAACGAACCGTGCAACATTACCCACTCACATACTATCGACACACAACTATACAATGCTACACAATAAACTATACTATACATTTCATCGAGAAGAATGTGAACATGTGAATGCACAAAGCCCAACAGCCCACTATAGCCTCGTCTACACGACGAACCTTAACTCGAGTTAGCGATTATGTAGCGTCTACACGACGAACCTCAACTCGAGTTAAGCTAACTCGAGTTAGCGATTATGTAGCGTCTACACGACAACACCCGATAGCGATTATTACCGATTTATTATGCATGCGTGCGTGCGTATGTAAACGTGCGTGTGTATGTAAACATTGCGTGTGCGTGCGTGCATGCGTGTGCACGTACGTGCGTGCGTCCGTGTGTGCGCGCGTGTGCAGGTACACGTTCGTGCGTACGTGCGTGCTTGCGCAGGTACACGTGTGTGCATGTGTGCGTGCGTGCGTACGTGTGTGTGCAGGTACACGTGCATGCGTGTGCACGTACACGTGCTAGTGTTGCGCCTATCGTGGAGTTATGTACTATTCGCTAACTCGAGTTAAGCGTCTACACGGGGCCTTAACTCGAGTTAGCTTAACCTCGATCGACTGGTGAGGTTAAGCTAACTCGAGTTACCTTAACTCAGGTTAAGGACCCGTGTAGACGCTTAACTCGACTTAAGGTTCGTCGGGTAGACGAGGCTTATGCGAGGGAAATCCACACCAACTGTAGCAACAGGGAGCACCTACTACAACCGCAAAAGGTTTCACTTATCATTTCTGCCTCACACACACGCCTCAACCGAGAGAGTACCCATCACTAACACAAACACATTAACATGGGGGAGGGCCCATCGCTAACGCCGAGGACGGACGAATGCTCACTTGTTTCCGCCGGTGGCGCGCAGCTTGATGTGCAGTGCGGTGACGCCGAGAACCTTGCATCGTTCGGCGACGTCCTGGGCGGCCAACATGGCGGCGTACGGCGACGCCTCGTCACGGTCGGCCTTCACCTTCATGCCACCCGTGATTCGAGAGATCGTCTCCCTGCAACGCGACACACGGGGGGTCAGAGGTCAGGGTTCAATGACAACACACCAGAGATAAGCGTTATTATACGATAAGGCAAGTATTACGCGATGGGGGGAGGGGTTTTCAGAGGTCAAGGTTCAATGACAACACACCAGAGATTTGAAGCTATAAGCGTTAAATTGTACGATAAGGTAGGTGTTATGTGATGGAAAGGGGTGTCAGAGGTCAAGGCTGAATGACAACACACCAGAGATTTGAAGCTATAAGCGTTATTGTACGATAAGGTAGGTGTTATGGGTCAGAGGTCAAATTAAAAAAAATATTTGTTCACAATGTACAACAGCACAAACGAAATGATAACTTTTAATTTGTGCATGAATAGTATTTGATGGGGGATTAGAGGTCGGGGTTCAACGACGGACGACAAACCAGATATTCGAAGCTATAAGCGTTACTGTACGATAAGGTAGGCGTTACGCGACGTGCGAACCATGGCGCACAGAGCTTACAGTCAGATGCAGATATAGCAGTTATCTGAACAGATACACACATAGGAGACACTGGCAGCAAGAACAAGTCCGCACCTGCAGCTACGGCATCTATTGACTATATATATACAACATGGTGCTTAACTCGCCGCCGCACTTCCCACAACTCACCGTTTTCAATCGGTTACAAACTCCGGTGTTCCTGCAGGTGACGCCACGATAGTTGGAAATGCGGAAGACTGCTTAACAAGCTACACCTGCCGTTTTTGACAATCGGTACGCCAGAATGCGCGCAAATCACAGAAATTCCTCAAATATCCATGCGAAACGATCCTTCGAATGTTACCCGGCAAAAAGGCGACAGGGCCAACCGTTGGTGGCTGCGCCGATTGGCTGCAGCAACGTAGTTGCGCAGCCTGTCTGCACATTAAACTTGCTGCAGCCAATCGGCACAGCCGCCAACGGTTGGCCCTGCCGCCTTTTTGCTGGGTAACATTCGAAAGATCGTTTCGCATGGATATTTGAAGAATTTCTGTGATTTGCGCGCATTCTGGCGTACCGATTGTCAAAAACGGCAGGTGTAGCTCGTTAAGCAGTCTTCTGCATTTCCAACTATCATGGCGTCACCTGCAGGAACACCGGAGTTGTAACTGATTGAAAACCGTGAGTTGTGGTCCGTGCGGCGGCGAGTTAGGCACCATGTTGTATATATATAGTCAATAGATGCGTGTGTGCTGTAGCTGCAGGTGCGGACTTGTTCTTGCTGCCAGTGATAGGAGAGATATGAAAATGATATAGAGAGTGATGTAAAGTGTATAGAGTGTTTAATATAGAGAGTATATATAATATAGACAGTAATATAGAGCGTAAAATATAGAATGCATATATGATATAGAGAGTGATGTAAAGTGTATAGAGTGTATAATATAGAGCGTAATATAATATATATGTCTTTATACACCTGATATGGTAGGATACCTGTGATATCGCACCTGTATCATACCTGCGCAGTTCCTCGTCAGCTGGAGCATCTACCTGTCTGTGCGTCAGCTGTCGCATCGACTTACCTGCGTGTCACTGTTAGTCATAGTGTCTACCTATCGGATGTAACATCTACCTGTCTACAGGTGTAATTAGATTAAGAAATACCTACTACTGTTGCTCTAAGAAAGGGAGAGCCAGAATCACAGCCAAAATCAGATTTAAATTCAGTAGAAAAAAAAGTAATATATACACATAAAGGTGAAGTGATAAACAAAGTGCATATAAAACAAAATACCAAGTGAATAGGTGGTAAAATACGTTTTCTTCGCCCACGTTTCCATCAACAGAGTGTATACTATAGTTACTGTGGATTTTCAGGCAGCCAAGTTGCTTTTAACGGAAAAAGGGTACTTCATTAATTCAAAATTTACTTCATTATATATACTAGTATAATGCAAATATTATATTTACTATCATAATATTTGATTTTACTTGCAGAATGACTGGAGACATGCTTTCGCTATCCAACACTAGTTTCACTAGTCAGGTGCAGGTGGCGCTGTCCGAGGCGCTAGAGGTCAACGGTCAAGCGCTGTCCGAAGCCGAACTGTGGTCCCTGCTGTGCCAGTCCGTCGAGGCAGTTCAAGATCTCTTCATCAGAGGTGTGTGTGTGTGCGTGCGTGTGTGCGTGTGTTTGTGTGTGTGCGTGTGTGTGTGTGTGTGTGTGTGTGCGTGCGTGTGTATGTGTGTGTGTGTGCGTGCGTGCGTGCGTGCGTGTGTGCGTGTGCTTGTGCGCGTGTGCGTGCGCATGCGTGTGTAGTGTAATGTAACGTAATGTAATGTAATAAAGTGTAATGTAAATTAATTAATGTGATAAAGTGTACTGTAACGTAACGTAACGTAACATAATGTAATAGGATTCAATGTAAATAAATTTTAATGTCATAAAGTGTAACGTAACGTAACATAATGTAATAGGATTCAATGTACCGTAATGTAACGTAATGTAACGTAACGTGACGAGTTCAGTGTGATAGCCTCCGCCGCCGCCGCCGCCGCCGCCTATTTCCGCGTATTTTAACTCGTATTTGCGCGTTGCAGGCGCGGCGTATGACGACTCGCGTCTCTTCCACCTCGTCACCCCGGACTCCCTGCTTCTCTGCATCACCGGACGCGTCTCCTTCCACGAGACCGTCCTCGACGACCGTGGCAACGGCGGCAGCTTCCCGCCGGAGATGCGGGGCGGCGCGACGATGACGGAGGAGGCTGCGGAGAAGGTGAGCGAGGGATGGAAGGAGCGACAGATTGACGGAGGGGTCGCGGTGACGGTCGGCCTTCACCTTCATGCCACCCGTGATTCGAGAGATCGTCTCCCTGCAACGCGGCACACGGGGGGGTCAGAGGTCAGGGTTCAATGACAACACACCAGAGATAAGCGTTATTGTACGATAAGGTAAGTATTACGCGATGGGGGGGGGGTCAGAGGTCATGGCTCAATGACAACACACCAGAGATTTGAAGCTATAAGCGTTATTGTACGATAAAGTAGGTGTTACGTGATGGGAAAGGGGGTCAGAGGCCATGGCTGAATGACAACATACCAGAGATTTGAAGCTATAAGCGTTATTGTACGATAAGGTAGGTGTTATGCGATATGGGTCAGAGGTCAAATTTAAAAAATGTTTGTTCACGATTAGTATTTTCACAATGTACAACAGCACAAACGAAATGATAACTTTTAATTTGTGCATGATTAGTATTTGATGGGGGATTAGAGGTCGGGGTTCAACGACGGACGACACACTAGAGATTCGAAGCTATAGGCGTTATTGTACGATAAGGTAGGCGTTACGCGACGTGCGAACCATGACACACAGAGCTTACAGTCAGATGCAGATATAGCAGTTTTATGTACAGACACACATATAGGAGACACTGCCAGCAAGAACAAGTCTGCACCTGCAGCTACAGCACACACTCATCTATTGACTATATATATACAGACCTGCCAACCTGTGATTCATGAAAATTGTAAGGCTTTTTTTTCTTGCAGCAGGCGGCCATTTTGTTTGTATGTTATGCGCGCAATGAATGATTGGACTCAGATCACGCGAGAACAACGTGAACGCGTGATCCAATATGGCTGCGCCCACAATCGCCAGATATTTCTCGGCTCACAATGTAAAAAACATTAATTTTCACAAGTCGTAAAAAATCGTAAGTTTTTCAGTTTGATCGTACATTCGTAGAAACATCATGGAATTCGTAAGGAATACGAAAAAATCGTAAGGGTTGGCAGGTCTGTATATACAACATGGTGCCTAACTCGCCGCCGCACGGACCACAACTCACCGTTTTCAATCAGTTACAAATTCCGGTGTTCCTGCAGGTGATGCCACTTTCCAACTATCGTTGGAATTGCGGAAGACTGCTTAACAAGCTACACCCGCCATTTTTGACAATTGGCCCGCCAGAATGCGCTCAAATCATAGAAATTCCTCAAATATCCATGCGAAACGATCCTTCGAATGTTACCCGGCAAAAAGGCAGCAGGGCCAACCGTTGGCGGCTGCGCTGATTGGCTGCAGCAAGTTTAATGTGCAGACAGGCTGCGCAACTATGTTCCTGCAACAACAACAATTTCGCATGGATATTTGAGGAATTTCTG